GTTTCCCGACTCCAGCCATAAATTACATATTCACCCGTGTCAGGGGAGGCCTTTGTCACTTTGAAGGAAGGCACCTGAAGCCACTCTGGTCACAGCACAGATGCCCACGACTCTCCTCTCACCTAGAAACAGGCTGCCCATTGGGCTCGGAGGCCAATTCCCGCACTTCGCAAGCAGGGAAGCTGCGGCCCAGACCTGCCCGAGTCGCTACAGCGGCCAGTGGCAGGGGGACTCTCTGGCCCGTGTAACACAGGCTTATTGTCTGTGCCACAAGGGGCCTCAGTTCTCCACTTTTAATCCATCTCTGAAATAGATCCAGGCAGGGGCTTTATCTGAACCTCTGCAGATTGAACTCAATGCTGTGGTGGGAAGCAGTCCTGGGGTTGCAGACATCATCTGAATGATTCCCTCCAGAGGATTCACTCAGCAAAACCAAGAGAGCTCAAATTCTTTTTGGAACCAGGTGGGGTGAGAACAAAGAAAAGGGCTCTATCCGGTGCCGCCTCCAGGGTCTACCTGACCCAGCTGCCCCTCCCCTGCAAGTCAAAGGAGACTGCTTTTTCATCTGAATTGTGGCCAAGTATACACAACATAAAACGTAAACTCCGCAACCATTCGTAAAAGTACGGCTCAGTGGCGCTCAGTACACAGTGTTGTGCACTGTGCGCTGCCTCCGCCTTACAAAACCGGTGCTCGGTACCTACTCAACCCTGACGCCCCACTCTCCCCTCCCCGGCCCCTGGCCGCCACCATTCTACTTTCCATCCTGAAGCCTCTGACTACAAGGTTCTGCACATAGGTGGGATCATACAGTATTTGTTCCTTTGTGACAGGCTTATTTCACTTGGCGTATGTCCTCGAACTCACCCATGTGGTGGCGTGCGTCAGAATTTCCTTCCTTTTTAAAGGCTGAAAAATATTCCATTGCACATACGGAGCACATTTTGTTGATTCATTCATCTGTCGGTAGACGTCTCTACCGAGACGCTTTTGCTCGGTAGAAGCAAAAGATAGTTGCTTCTATCTTTTGGCCGTTGTGAAGAATGCTGCTATGAACACACGTGTGCAAATAGCTCTCTGAGACTCTGCTTTCAATTCTTTCAGGTCTATTCCAAGTGCGGAATTGATGGATCATACGGTACTTCTATTGTTCACACTATGAGGAACCTCCCTACTGTTTCCCAGAGTGGCTGCACCAGTTTGCATTCCCACCAACAGTGCACGAGACTTCCAATTTCTCCACATCCTCGGCGACATCTGCCACTTTGGGGTGTGTGTGTGTGTGTGTGTGTGTGTGTGTGTGTGTGTGTGTATGTGAATAACAGCCATCCTAATGGGTGTAATTTGGTATCTCCTTGCGGTTTTGATTTGCATTTTCTTAAGTCAGAGTGATATTCTGCACTTGAAACAGGTCTCACTAATACAAGCAAAGAATGACTATGATTAAAAAAAAAAAAAGAAAAAGAAAAAGGTAGAGGGGCACCTGGCTGGGTCAGTCAGTAGAGCATGCAACTCTTGATCTCAGGGTCATGAGTAGAGCCCCATATTGGGCATGGGGCCTACTTAAAAATAATTAATACGTACATACATACAATTTTTTTTTTTTTTAAGTAGAAAGTGCTAGTGTCCTTGAATGCTGCACTGTTTCCTGGACAGCCCCGTGAGAAGAACCGCATGAGGCCCAACCCCATGCTCACTCTGTACACACACATCAGCTCCGTCCACATTTCTCACCCCAAGCGAATATTAATGGTCCCTTGGGGGAAAAAATCTCAGTCCCAAACTGTAGGTAGGGAGCTTTAAAAAAAAAAAAAAAAAAAACCCTATTCGACTGTTACAGGTGTGTGTTAGTACACAAGTAATTCTGAACGGGGCCAAGTGCCCAATAAAACCTTGTGTTCATTCCAGCACCTAGAATCGGGCACGGAAATGACAGGTTGCTTCTGCATATTTGAACCTGCCTGCTGGGCCCAGGTCTGCCAGCAAAGCCGTAGTCCCGTCCCGCTGTGCACTGCGAATTCATCGAAACAAAACAAATACAAAAACACTCTGTGCAAAACAACCTATGCTTTGCTTCAAAATAATCGAGGGTGACAGGGGAGGATATAAATTTTCAAAGACTGGCTAATGAGTTGGTAACTGTTGAAGCCACGTGATGGGAACATGGAGGTTTGTCAGACTGTTCAATTTTGGTATTTGCTCTATGTAAAAAAAGAATACTTTCTCGGAGTCTCTGAGGAGGTAAAGCTTGGCATAGGGTTTTACACATTTTCAGCAACCTCGGGAGGCAGGCAGCAGGCCTGTGCCATCGATATTTCACAATGAAAACGCGAAGACTACTCAGTATCACTCAGAGCGGGTCAGAGTCCAGACTGGCACCGGGGTGCCCCCCGCTGCACCCACCATGCTCTTCCCTGAAGGCTCTGCGCCCCACTTCTCAGGCCTCACCCCACACTTAAGCTCCTGTGCAGAAGACAGGAGATAACTGCTAGGGACCCAGCAGGGAGGCGTCTGGCCACCCTCGCACTTTCCCAGCCAAGCTCTCTCGTGCCTCGTTTTCCTGGCTGTTCCTTTTTGTCCCCTCCTGTTCTGCCCCAGTGCACACTAACTGAGAAACAGACTCTCGGCCACACATCGGCAATCCTGCAGAACGCCGATAACACTGCAGCCCTTTTCAATCAAGCAGAGTACAACTCGGAATTCATGAACTCCCCTATTCGAATCTGGGGCTGCCGAGGTGTTACTGGACAAGTTGGTAAAGCTTCCCAAGAGCCAAGAGTCGGTTCTGAAAAGAATGTGAAGAAACAGGGCATTAGCGGGCCCTCAGTTACAGCAGCGGGAAGTTTCGCTCTAGCTGAACAATTCAGGATGACCTTCGAAGGTCAAGGCGCCAGACCAAGCAAGCACAGCCTGGGGGTGGGAGAGAACAACACGGACCACTGGGCGTACAAGTGTCCAAAGTGTCAGACCGCCTGTCTGCCACCTGGCCCTCCACCATACACCTGGCCTGTGGGTGGGGCCTCCGGGTGGGGCCAGGCTGCGGGAGCCGTGCAGATCCAGGAAGCCACACACTGCGAGGATGAGGCAGCCTCCGTCCTCCCATCAGGAGAAGCCCAAAGGAAACCCGTCGAATGTCCTGTATTGCCTTATTTCAAGGAAAATGACAAAGTTGCCGGGACAGACAGGCTGAGCACAAAGACGTGGGGTAAACAGCCACGCACTGAATATCACCCTGTTTCTCCAGGACAGGCACACACAAAAAACCCCAAAACTTTGAGATAAACCATCAGGAGACGATGCTATAATATCAAGGGCAAAAGCTGGGAAGTCTTAACGCAAGTCTGCCTTGTTCTCAAGAGTTCGAGTCCAAACAGGGCATGCCAGAAATCCACAGGAGAGGCAAAATGTGGCATCACGGCCACTCATTCTGTCCCTCCCTCTGCACATGCCCCCACCCAGATACTGATAAGCAATGCTTGCTTAAGGTGTTCAATCGCGTCCCCGCACCCACCTGCATAGACTCAGTGTCTGCTTCTCCTGGACCTACCCCCCTGGCGACACACACATGCTAGGATACCTCCCGTAATGCCTTGACCATCTCCAGCTAGTGCTCGATTTTTCTGCTCTTCTTTAGGGCAGAGCCCTTGAAAGATCTGTCATGAGTCATAGTCTCCACTGCCCCACGTCCCCCTGGCTCCTTGGCCAGCTCCAGGTGGGTTTCCATCCCCCAGAGCACACAGCAGGTCTGGTCCACGTCACCAACAACGTCCACTTTGTCAAGGCCAATGCCAATTTTCTGTCCTCATCCTACGTCACGCCCCTGTGGCACAGCTGACTGTTCCTCTGTCCTTGAGAGGCTTCTATGATACAAAGTCTCCTGTCCACCCACTCACAGCCAACTCTGGAGCCGACTTTCCTCTTCAGGGTCCCCTCTAGCACCCCAGGACTTGACCTTCACACCCCTCCCTCCTCTTCTCAGTCAGCACACTCTCCCTCAAAGACCTCATCTAGCGTCCCCGCCACCGCCCCGATGGTAGTGAAGTCTTTCATCTCTAGGGTGGCCGCAGACAGGAAACAAACATCTCCATGTGGCTAAGAGACCGTTCTCCCTCTTCTGTCCCAAAATTCTATCTCAGAACATGAGACCCCCATCCATCCCTTCACTCTGCAGAACCATTCCAAAATCAGATCCAACTTATAACCTCAGAGTTACTGAAAGTAGAGAATAATTCCAACTCCTTACTGACAACTGTTAAGGTCCTACATGCCCCGGCTCCTTCATGACTCTGTCCTCCCTCGTGTCCCCTTCTCCCTTGTACTCGCTGAGCTCCAGCCACAAGGCCCAAGTCCCTTGCCCCTGCCAAGCGCAGTCCTGCCTCAGGGCCTTTGCAAATGCTGCTCTTCTTGCCTATAGCTTTCTTCCCAGACCCCCACCGGCTGCCTCTTCACTCATACTCTGGTCTCAGTCCTTAAGTCACCTCCTCAGAATGCCCTTCCCTGACCACCCTAGCCAAGGAGCTCCCTACTCTGTTGCTCAGTAGGCTACTGCCATTACGGATTACACACAAGCACCACAAGGAACAGGGCTTTATTGCCTGCGTCCACTCTTACCTCCCAGAGCCTAGAACAGGGCCTGGCCCACAGTCAAAAGGGCACTAAGTGCCCTGCTACCGACGTTTCATGGGGCTCATTCCCAGGCAGGGAAGCGGGAAGACAGACATGCGTGTGGGCCAGAGTTTCAAACGTTCCTAAACCTCCGAGGCTCAGGTAGGGGCCCATTAACCTGGTTTTCAATCACCTTGGCCTTCCCTGTCACTGTACTTAACAGTCTGTTTTATAATGGACTTGTCGCTGGTTCTGCCGGCGGCCGGGGGGCGGGGGCTCATTAACCCTGCCCACCTTCTCCTGCACAGCCTCACAGGGGGCCTGGCAAATCAACGGTTCGTGAAGAATCACGATCTACTGAATAAAAGACTAAGCGGCCGCTCTCGATAACTCACCCAGAAGACGATGTTGTAGCTGAAAAGGAGGTACTTATACCAGCAGCTGACCTCGGCGTTAGAGTATCTATAATAGTGCATCTTCCGAGAGGCGGGATCTGTGAACAGACATGGGAGCGATGAGACGACAGGGTCACTTACAATAACATCTCCCCCAAACTGCTCCCCAAGAAAGAGCAAAGGTGAGGCTCATGCACAGACTCCAGAAATCTACCCAAACTGTCTCCCCGTGTTCGTGCACGGGTTCAGGCTTCAGTTTACTCTCAATGCCAGCTGTAGACTGGGCAACAACCACATTCCTTCAACTCTCCAAAAACAGCCCCGAAAAGAAGAAGAGATTTCTGAAAGAACGCAGAATGTCGGTGTTCAAAGTGTCCCCGGAATTCCAGGCCTTCCCAAACATCTATCTCCTCATCTCTGCATTGGGTGTTGCTGGTTCCACTGCTTGGCAGAGGAAACAGGAGTTAGGAAGGAAGGTTGTGGGACTTGCCCAAGGATAAGACAAAAAAAACCCGACAGGGCCCAGGATCTGAACCCAGGACAGCGGGGTCCCCAGTCCACGTCCTCTCCACCCACCACTACCCGCGGCAGAGGGGCCAGGAGTAGAGGGAGTCACCAAAGAAACGGGGGCACTGAGAGGCACGTCTGGGAAGGAGAGATGACAGGCAGGCATGATCTAACCGAGGCCAGTAAAGACGCCAGAATTAAGGCTCCATATTCGTTCATCCAACATTTTCTGAGATGACCTCCCAAGCTCTGTCCTCACAGAGGTGAGGAAGGTGGAGAGACCCCAGGAGCATACAGCAGCCAGCATTCGCCCATGCCTCTCTCCCCTCCCTTGCCTGCTTAACCTGCCCTGCAACTCGCCCACCACCGTTTTGGCCTCCAGAGGCTGTGGGTAAAAGCTCAGACTCCAGAATGCTCTGTGAACAGCACAGAGGGTGAAGTGGGGGGCCCTCTTTTTCTTTTTCATCTGTGTTCATCCCCCAAAGCCCCTCAGAGAATCCTACAAAAAGGAAGGTGCCCTCAAAAGGGAAATCTCAGGACCTGGCCCGCCTTTACCTGATGGGGAAGGTGGGGGGGGCGGGGAGTTGGGGGGGGGGGGGAGTCTCAAGCTGACCCTCAGGAGGCAGGATCCAGGGTTCACCCCCAGGCCCCAGTTCACCTCCCACTTCCTGGGGTGAGGGGAGGGGCACATCATAACAGGGCCCAAGGCAAAAACAAACAAGGCTACTCCAGCAGTGAGGAGACAACCCACTCACAACCGCCGGGAAGAATCCAGCTACTGCCGCCTTGCCGAGGAGCGGCTGCTGCAAAATCCCTTCCTGGGCCTCAGTGGCCTGGCCACGGGGCTCATAATGTTCTGAGAAAGTGGTGCCAAGCAGGGACATGAAAACCACAGCCCTCTGGAGATGAGTGCTGTGGCGGCTCAACCCTCCTGGCCACAGAGCAGAATCAACAGGCACCGAAGCCTGGACACCACGGTCTGCTCACCTCCTCCCTCCAGGAGGGATGGGCGAGTCTGGCCGGTCAGGTCTCAAACACCAGCCAGGAAGGGGACAGCAACCTGGCAGCCCCCTGTCCCCACCGTCAGAGCCGCGCTTGCACAAAACTCCCCTCCGAGGATGAGGATGAATGTGATCCCAGGTACCGAAGGACACCGCTGGGGACAGGGCACACAGGAGGCCTGAACACAGCCTGGGCCACGCAGGGCGGCTACAAGACCACCGGGGGCTCTCAGGCCGAGACTCCTTCCTTCGGCAATGCGACCCGACCCTGGGCAAGTTCCTGCCCTCTCAAGGCCTCAGCATCCTCAACTGAAACTGATCCCTGATGTCACTGGTGTTGAGGGACCCAGCTGACAGCATCAAACGACTTATCCTAAACACAGATCTCAAGGCCTTACCCTCTGCACGTTCTGATAAGTGGGGCTAGGCTGGGGCCCAGAATCTGCATGTTTGACAACTTCAGACTCGCCTAATGTACTAAGTATCAGCCCGGGCACCATGGACTGCCGTCCCTCTGGGGATCCTACAAAGGCAGAAGGACCCCGCTAGCTGTAGGGACACAGGACAGACTAGGGCTATGGTAGCGACAACTCTTGGTAGGCAACTAACTAAAAGGGAACCAACATTCACCCATTTGTGTTTCACAGATTACAAAAACCTCAAAGCGCTAAGTTTTCGTCCGACTTCAGATGACTGGCTTCATGCATATAGAAAAAAAAAAAAACAACTTTTTTTAACCTAAATCTCAGGTAAGTTCCTCACAGTGAAACAGTCAACTTGGCTGAAAATGCCCCAGAAGGCAGGAAAATGTTCAAAACGGTAGAAACCCTATTTCTGTTTATGGACAAGACAAGCCTGCTCCTTAGAACTGTCAAATACAGCCCCCTCTTCTTCGTGGTTCCTAGAGACGCCTGGAAGGTGGATGGCCATATGCTCCATAGAACGGAACCCCAGAGATTGGGGGGGGCTACTCAGGCATAGTACCCAAAAGTTCAGGAGTCCTCGAGAGTACTCTTTGGACACCAAGGAGGGTGGTCAGAGAGAGGGAGACATAGAATCCGAAGCAGGCTCCAGGCTCTGAGCTGTCAGCTGTCAGCTTTAACCCAACCATGGTAAAGCTCTCGCTCAAAAGCTTTGGAGCAGTAAACAAAGCCAGTCCCCCTTCTTCCTCCACAAAGAAACCAGCTAATTAGCACAAGTCTGCATGTTTTCCAAGGTAGTGGCAGCCTCATCCCTGCCTTCTGCTTGGGGCCTTTGGGAAATGATTACTCTGAGGTGAAACAGAACTCTCAACCTGGAGCTCCCTGTTCTTCAGCTCCGGCCGGTTAAGCATGACGAACATAGAAAGGCCACAGGAGGGGCGCCTGGGTGGTTCCATCAGTTAAGCGTCCAACTTCAGCTCAGGTCATGATCTCATGGTCCGTGAGTTCGAGGCCCGCATCGGGCTCTGTGCTGACAGCTTAGAGCCTGGAGCCTGCTTTGGATTCTGTGTCTCCCTCTCTCTCTGACCCTCCCCCATTCATGCTCTGTCTCTGTCTCAAAAATAAATAAACATTAAAAAAAAAAAAAAAAAGAAAGAAAGGCCACAGGAATTCATAACCACGCAGGCCCCAGAGGGGAGAGTTCTCTGCAGGGCACCTGGCCTCCCTCACCACAGGTTTTACCCTCTTTCACTGTGGCCCCCGAAGGCCTCACTCCACAAAGACACACAGGCAACCGGAAAAAGCTCTGCTTTCACAGACGTCAGGGTCCAATCCCACACCCAGAGAGTCTCAACAACCATGACATCAACTCCAAGCCCGTACCTTCCTGGAGACTCAGACACTTGGAACTGCACTAGCCAGGTCCACACCAGGGAAGGACTAGGAAACCCCTGATCACCCATGACACCGTGCACCACACTCAGACACGTCCCCTAAATGCCTGTCATGCATGACCCATTGCACCACTTTTGTTGGACCAAGATAACCCTGTGAGGTCTAGGCGTGGGGATGTCCCAATGACACCATTTCCCCATCCAACTCACAAAAGAGGAAACTGTTGAGGGGAAACATTTCAGTCTTTTGTCACCCACTTGTTTATTCCTCCCCGTGGGAAGAAAAGGCACTCAAGTAACCATAGGCGGGGAGAGTGACCCCACTTCCCCACCCCCAGGGAGCCTAAGGAGCAGAAAGAAAGGCTGCTCCTCTCTCTCTCTCTCTCTCTCTCTCTCTCTCTCTCTCACTGCAATCTGCCCTGCTGGCCTCCGGCTGTAGAAGCAGGTCCCTAATGTCACTGTCACCAAAGATCTCTGAATGTAAACCAAAGGAGGTAAAGGGAAGATCTGTGTGGACCCCAGTCCAAGCCACGCCTCCAACACAAGGCCCTGGGGACCTCAGTTTGGGGAACGAAGCCAATGCTGAGCTCCAGTGGGTCTGGTTCAGTCGCTTCACAGCCTCAACGCCCTGGCCACCCCACCTGAGTGTTACCCACGCTGACACAGCACCCCGAGAAGGTGACAAAGGCACTGGTGCCGAAACTAAAGCCCAGAGCTGACCCAACATGCAGCCAAATGACCCCGAAGTAACCGTGGTCCCTGACAGCTCATCTTATTTGCTAAACCAAGTCATATCAGAGGAACGCAGAACTCCGCTCTCTACCAACTAAGGAACTTAATTAAAACCAATACCATTGAGGGACGCCTGCTGGCAAAGCCTGTAGAACATGCAACTCTTGATCTTGGGATTGTAGGTTCGAGCCCTATGTCGGGGGTAGATATTACTTAAAAATAAAGTCTTCAGGGGCACCTGAGTTGCTCAGTCGGTTAAGCGTCAGACTTCGGCTCAGGTCATGACCGCATAGTTCGTGAGTTCGAGTGCCACATCGGGCTCTGTGCTGATGGCTTGGAGCCTGGAGCCTGCCTGAAATTCTGTGTCTCCCTCTCTTTGTTCCTCCCCTGTGTGCACTCTGTCTCTCTCTCTCAAAAATAAATAAACATTAAAAAAAATTTTTTTAATGAAACATAAATAATGTTTTTGGCAGCCACAGCAATTATGACAAAGGGTAAAAAATCTACAATGTCTAAAAATCCATACTCAAAAGACTCCAGTTTTAGACACAAGGACAAAAGAGACGGACATTAAATGAAAGGGAAGGACAATATAATGAACAGATGAGAAAATGTTCAACATCACTGGAAATGAAACCGAACGACGATCCAGAGATGCTATCTCCTGTTACACTATTTAATTTGACAAAATAACCACGTAGCTGCTGCTGGCAAGCCCGTGATGAGGATGCCAAGTCCGTGATGAGGATGCCAAGTTCACACCTTGCTGGCAGCAGAGTAAATTGTTACCACTCTTTGGTAAGCAATATGGTTACAGACACTCAAAACCAAAAAAAGAAAAAAAAGAAAAGAAAAAGAAAGTCATACCCTTAATCCAATAAAGTCATGACTAAGAATCTGCCTCCAGAAAATAAACCAACAAAAGAAAAAGAATATGCATTAAGTATGAAATCTGAACATCATGGTTTGCAATTACAGAACAATTTGTAAGCATGTGGTTGAAGGCCAAAATGGAATATAAAAGTGTGGAAATGGTTGCATG